GATTACAGGCACGCACCACCATGCCCAGCTAATTTTTTGTATTTTTAGTAGAGACAGGGTTTCACCATGTTGACCAGGATGGTCTCGATCTCTTGACCTTGTGATTCACCCGCCTCGGCCTCCCAAAGTGCTGGGATTACAGGCTTGAGCCACCGCGCCCGGCCTCTAGCATATTTCTTGATAATTTCCTGATGTGACCTGCTCTGTCTACCTGCCCCATTCATCAGACATGATCTTTATTCTCACATGCTCTGACTATTGAGGGATCACAGTGTAGACCCAGAGTCTACAATCAGCCACCCTGGGCTTCTCTCCCCTAGTCTCTTCCCTATCGAAGCCCTGTGTCCTCTGCATTCTTCCTTCCAGTCAAGAACCCTATTGAGGCAAGTGTCTTGCTGGCTGAAGCCTCGCTGGCACGGAAGCAGCGGAAAACACATACTACCTTTATTCCACTGATGCTGAATGAGATGCCACAGATTGGGGACCTGGTGGGTTTGGATGCTGAGTTTGTCACCCTTAATGAGGTAACCAAGACCAAAAGGATGGGGCACTGGAAGAGAACTCTGAGGATATTAGGAGTTGTAAGCATTTCTCTGATTTTCTTATTAACTCTTCTCATGTAGGAGGAAGCAGAGTTACGCAGTGATGGTACCAAGTCCACCATTAAACCAAGCCAGATGTCAGTAGCCAGGATTACCTGTGTTCGGGGCCAGGGACCCAATGAGGGTATCCCCTTCATTGATGACTACATCTCTACCCAGGAGCAGGTATTAGGATATGGAGATGCAAGTGAGGCACACCTTGGTGCTTATGTACAGTGCTCAAGAACCCAGGGAAGAGTGGTAGGGGAAAACACCTCACTTCCTGAAAAGGACTTGTCCTTTTCTCTATTCCTAGGTGGTGGATTACTTGACTCAATACTCGGGTATAAAGCCTGGTGATCTTGATGCCAAAATCTCATCCAAGCACCTAACAACTCTCAAGTCTACCTACTTAAAGCTTCGTTTTCTCATTGACATTGGAGTCAAGTTTGTGGGTCATGGCCTGCAGAAGGACTTCCGGGTCATCAACCTGATGGTTTGGCAGGGCTCTTTTAAGAGTCTTATTTTGAGGGTGGGCCCCTCAGGGTATACATTGTGCCTTTAGAAAATGGGGAATTATAGATCCCCTACCTTAAGTCTCTCCCTCTTTTATCTTTGCCAGGTGCCCAAGGACCAAGTCCTTGATACCGTCTACCTGTTCCATATGCCTCGAAAACGAATGATTTCCCTGCGATTCCTTGCTTGGTACTTTCTGGGTGAGTTGCTTTGCCTTGTAGGCTCCTGTGGTGCACATTAAGAGCAGAAGCAGCCATTTAAAAAACAAAAAAAAAGAAATCATGTCCTTTGCAGCAACATGGATGAAGCTGTCGGCCATCATATTAAGTGAACTAACTCAAACAGAAAATCAAATACCACATATTCTCACTTATAAGTTGGAACTAAACCATGAGTACATACAAACATAAGGATGGAAATAATAGACACTGGGCCTCTAAAAGGGGGGAATGATGGGGGAATGGGGACAGTTGAAAAATTATGTATTGGGTACAAAGTTTACTATTTGCATATTAGGTATACTAGAAACCCAGTCCCCACCAGTACATGATATACCCACGTTATGAACATGCACATATACCCCAAATCTAAAAAAAAAAACATGGCGGGGGGGGGAAGAAAAAGCAGGAACAGTGTTAGAGGATAAAGTGGGAGTAGGGGGGACCCTCAGTTAGTGGTGACAATTACTCATGGATTTAATTAACTTCAGTATCCCTTCTGTGCACTGAGGAAGGTGTTTGAGTTTCCCTTAAGGGCAGTCAGGCTTTTTAGTTTTCTGGAGTCAGTTGGGAGTGGGGAGACATGTTCCTCCTTCCCTTTGCTGGGTCCCAAACTATTCCACCTTTACTTACCCCAGACCTGAAGATTCAAGGGGAAACCCATGACAGTATTGAGGATGCCCGCACAGCCCTTCAGCTCTACCGAAAGTATCTGGAGCTAAGCAAAAATGGCACTGAGCCTGAGTCTTTCCACAAGGTGCTCAAGGGTCTTTATGAGAAGGGCCGAAAGATGGACTGGAAGGTGCCAGAGCCTGAGGGCCAAACAAGTCCCAAGAGTAAGACCTGGGATGGGACAAGGGAAACTGGACTGGGTGGATTTTGTATTTTGTTTGTTTGTTTGAGACAGGGTCTCACTCTGTTGCCAGGCTGAAGTGTAGTAGCATAATTACAGCTCACTGCAGCCTCGACCTTGTGGGCTCAAGTGATTCACCCACCTCGGCCTCCCAAATAGGACAACCAGGCGCACACCACCACACCGAGCTAATTTTTGTACTTCTTGTAGAGACAGGGTTTTGCCATGTTGTCCAGGCTGGTCTTGAACTCCTGGGCTCAAGCAATCCATCCACCTTGGGCTCACAAAGTGCTGGGATTACAGGCATGAGCCTGGTGCCCCCAGTTGGGTGGATTTTGAGTGCATATATGGAGAACAGCACTTAACAGTTTACAAAGCACTTTATCCTCCTAATATTCAGTGAAATAGATTTTATAGAAACTCTCCATTAACTATAATGTCCTCTTGCCCAAGTCTAAAATGTTCAGGGAAGGTCCATGCCCTTTTTTCTCTTGCATTTTTCCTTCATAGGAAGTATGAGAAGATGATTTTTCTCTGTCAGCTTGAATCATGCTTTTGGTTTTGTCTCTGACAGATGCAGCTGTCTTCTCCTCAGTGTTGGCGCTCTGACCTACCCTTCCCAAAGAACTACTGCCCTCTCCCTTTACTGTTCTATAGTCCCAGAACTGGGAGATGGCTTCTTAAGTTGGCTATACCTTGTCCACTTCCAGAATTGGACGTGCTCAGGGTCTACAGATGGTGCTATTAATAGAACTGGAATACAGCAGAATTGTTGCAAAGGTTCTAGGAGCCAGATTCATTCCTTCTTCATCCTTTGCAAAACAGTGGTACAGAAACAGAGTCTAGAATTGACCCAGATGGAAAGTAATTGGTGTTCTTAATATCCTGGGTGACTAATATCCAGGCAAAGAAGCTCCTGGAGCCAAAACTGTCAGTTCCTAGCTGGCTAGGAATTGAAGTCCTGAACAGTGACAGAGGATACCACAGTAGTTCAAGACTTAGCACAAGTCACCAGCTGCTTCAGGGATGCCTGGAGGGGCCAGCATGTAGAGTGTTGGTGGCCCAAGCAAACTAGTGTTGCCAATACCGTTGCCAAAAGGGCCTTTGGATCCTGAACAAAGCTTGGCTGCTGGCTTCATTTATTCCTGCCGACAGCTGAGAAGCATTTGTCTTCCATCCCACTCTCCTCTCCCAAGTTTTGTTCTGTTTTTTAAAAATTTGTTGTAAACTGCATGTTTTATAAAATAAAAACAAAATATTATCTTTTGTTATTTATCTCATTAGAGAACTGCTAGTGTTCTCTGGTTTCAGTCTTCCTCTCCTTCCTTTGTATGAAGGTAAAGGATCGGAATCCAAAGTTACGGATGTGGGAAAGGGTATAATTATTCCTTTTGTGGACAATGCTGGGTCTTTGCTAGTAGCTGCCCGGTACCCTAAGTCAGACTGTTTGAAGATGTACGGAATGGTTACCCCGTTAATTGTGTAAGCCGGCAAACTACAGGTCCCAGTATAGTTTGAGACCTGTAGTTGCTCACAAATATCAGTCTGGTGCTGCGGTGCGTCCTGGGAGATGTAGTTTCCTGTGTATTGAAACCTGGGCTGCTAGCTGGCCTGTCGTGCACCGTTTTGAAGGTCCTAGCCCACCTGGGCTGGCTTAAGCGCACGCTTGGCCAATCCCACTCAGCATGCCCGGGTTCTGTCTTCGCTTCAGGCCACTCCTATTCTCCGGCTGACCCCTGGTGGTCACGTGGAGCTGTTCGCCACGCAAGTCTGGGTCCTTCGGCGATTGCCCGGGGTCCTTGCTGTCCGGGAGCCGCTCCTAAGCTGCCTGTTCGCGCGAGAGTTTGGAGGGGCGGGTTTGGGTTCAGTGTCTGATTGGGGCTCTCACCGCAGCACACCCGAGACCCGCTTAGATACCAGTTAGCACCCGGGGAGCTGGGTCAGGCCGTCGCCGGGCCACCCCGTGTGTGGCAAGCGGCGAAGCGCTCTGGAGAATCCCGGACAGCTCTGCTCCGCGCAGCCAGGTGTAGTTTCGGGAGCCACTGGGGCCAAAGTGAGAGTCCAGCGGTCTTCCAGCGCCTGGGCCACGGCGGCGGCCCTGGGAGCAGAGGTGGGACGGACGCGGGCGGCAAGGCGCTGGGCGCTGAGGGTTGGGGATGGACGAGAGCGAAAGAAATGGCGGAGTTCTTAGAAAGGGGGCTGGTCCGTACTGGTAATCACTTACGGGCTGGAGGTGGGGATGCAGGAATCTTCGGTGCAGAATCCAAATGGGCCCTAGTTATTGAATGCTCTCCTCGCTGGCCTCCTGGCCTGACTGAGGGCTCCCTGCCGGCAGTTCCCCGGTGCCTCAGTCCTCACGTAATCGTCAGCTTACCTCCTGTAGCTGCCACAAAGCCCCGTGAGCCCTAGGCATGCAGTGCTAAAGTACCAACACTTAGGGCCTTACCTATCCACGTAGTGTCGGGGGCTGAGCCCCAAGTCCTGAGCTCTCGCTCCCACCCACTGCCCTGGGGGAATCGGAGCCTTCAAGCGCTGCAACAGAGAAGCCCTTTTGTGTCCCGGCCATTTCCTGGAAAGTAGAGCCAGAGTCACAGTGAGGCCTTTGAAAGCTTTGGGGTGAGGAGTGGGTGGGGTGGGGGGGTAGGGAAAAATGGAGTTGGCTTCTCACATTTATGTTTTATGACCTCTCAAACCCAGGTGGAGCGACCCCATTACAATAAAGATGAAAGGCTGGGGTTGGCTGGCCCTGCTTCTGGGGGCCCTGCTGGGAACTGCCTGGGCTCGGAGGAGCCAGGATCTCCACTGTGGAGGTAAAGCACAACGGGAAAAAGAACTGAAGGAAGTAGAGCCTTGGGAGGGCATGAGATCCAAGGACTGGGAGAAGGATGAATGGAAATCCTGGGTTGATCCCATTCTCCTCCCACCCTACCCCCTTCCCTATCCCTGCTCCCATTCTCTCCTCTTCTGCCAGCGTGCAGGGCTCTGGTGGATGAACTAGAATGGGAAATTGCCAAGGTGGACCCCAAGAAAACCATTCAGATGGGATCTTTCCGGATCAATCCAGATGGCAGCCAGTCAGTAGTGGAGGTAACTGTAACTGTTCCCCCAAATAAAGTAGCTCACTCTGGCTTTGGATGAAAATTCAACTGCTTAAGGACCTTTGTTTAATAGAAATGAAGAAAACAGACCCAGAGAGATAAAGGTTTGGCTCTCTCTCATTTAGAAGCTGCAGCGTTCTACCCCATGCACTTGCATCCTGGCTGTAAACCTTAATACTTTGTTTCTGCTGTAGAATTTGTTAGCAAACAGGGAGTCCTGATCACTCCGCTTCTCTACATCCACATGACTCATGTTTTTAGTGTAGCACTGTGGTATATATACAAATATCTGTTCAAAAAAGAATAAAAGTATAGAAATCTGAGTCAGAGCTAAAAATAAAAAATGAAAAAAACAAAGAATAAAAGGTCTTATCCTCATAATTAGGAAATTTATTTTAGTCAAAAACAACACACGTACACAAAGCTGTATCTAATAATCAATATATAAGGGAATGTTAAGATTACGGTGCTAGCCTGGGAATTATGCCAAAATCCCATTTCTGCAAAAAAATGCAAAAGTTTGTGGGGCATAGTGGCATGTGCCTGTAGTAACAGCTACTTGGAAGGCTGAGGTGGGAGGATCACTTGATCTCAGGAGGTCAAGGCTGCAGTAAGCCATGATGCTGTC